GGTGCGGCCTGTCGGGCCCCCCCATCTCCTCTCCCTCCGCAGCGCGTTCCCACAGCCCAGGCTGCAGGACCTGCCCCTTGCGGACCCCGCTCTGAGTCCCTCTCGCTTTGCAGGCCACGGCAACTGACCAGGTGGTGGGATTCGGCTTGGTCGCCTTCAGCCTCGCTCTCTTTGTTTACTACACCCTCTGGATCATCGTGCTGGTACGAGTCCCCTCTGGCTGCTACAGCCCCAGTCCCTCCACCCTGCAGGTGTCAGTCTGGGCTTTGTTTAGGGGCTGATGAGACATCATCACCTTGTGCCTGAAGGACTCTGCCTTGCTGGCTTCCTGGCTGGAAAGGTGAAGGTGGAGCTTCCTCAGGTGGCTGGCACAGCCCTTGCCCCTTCTGGGAGCACCTGGGCAGCCCAGCCTGTGGTTGTGCTGCCTGTCCTGGGCAGGCTGCCCTGCCTGGTGTCACAGCCAAGGCTCGGGCTGAAGGAGGGATTGTCACTGGTGTTTGCTGACCTGCAGATTCCTGGTTCTGCTGGGATATGACAGAGGGAATCATAAAAAAGAAAAAAAAGGTTGACTGTTACTAAACCTGTAGCTCGGTAGGGGAGAACCTGGGGAATGCTCTGGAAAAGTGCTTGCCAGCCTGGTGGTTTGCCCAGTGCTGGGGACACGCCAGCTGGAATCGTCAGTGGTGGGTTTTTTCTTGGGAATGAGCGTCTCGTGGTGACCTTTCCAGGCCCGGGAGGCCAGGCTCGCCCCGGGGCCGGTGCCTGAAGTGTCAGCTTCCCCTCAGACTCCCCTCTTGCCTCGGCTCGCTCTGCCGCTCGGTGCCTGGTGCTGCAGCCGCGGTCCCAGCGCTGCCCTGCGATGGCTGCACCGCTCCCTGGTGTCCAGAGCCTTCCCTGGCCTCCGCAGGGATCCTGGCGGGATCGCCCTGGAGCGGAGCCTCCCTCAGCCGCTCCCCCTGCAGGGCACAGCCCGGGGGCCGCCGTGTCCCCCCTGTGGGACCCTCGTGTCGCTGCCCCGTGTGTTTTGCAGCGCTCTGAAACCTTCACCGCCCGCAGCTCTGGGCACCTTGGGTTGTTCTTTAGCCTCTCTCCTCACCCCTGATATTTCCCATCCTGCTTTCCAAACCGTGGGTGTTTTGGGGAGGGGGTGGGGGGCTCGCCCTGAGGTGGTGCCCACCCCTGACCCCCCTCTCTGTCCCCTGCAGCCCTTCATTGACAGCGACCACGGGCTCCACGGGTGGTTCTTGCCCAGGGAATACGCCGTGATCATCCCCGTGGTGGCTGGGCTGCTGCTGCTGCTATTTATAGGTGAGGGTCATCTCAGTAGTGCTAATTAGAAGCTTCTATATTAGGAAGGGAGAAGAGGGTGGCTGGGGGGAGGTTAGCTGCATGTGTGACACTCGTGACACGCTCAGCCTGATGTGGGCCCTCAGAGGGGGGAAGGGGGGGATGTTTTTGTGAAGCTTGGGCTGTTGGAGCCTCTGGCCAGTGGGGTTTTCTTCCTCACTCTGCTGAGGTTCTGTTTCTTACTGCAGTGTGGTTTTAAAGTGGTGTAATTGGGAGTTTTCTGGATGAATTGTTCTCTCTCTCTCTCGTAGGTGTTTTTATAATGGTTGTGATGTGGAAGAGCAGGAAAACCACAAAGAAAACAGACTGAAGGCTGAGATGAGGAGCAGGTGCCCATCCTGTGGCATCGTGGCTAGGAAAAGACTTTACTGGCAGCACCAGGCACCACCTCAGTGCTGAACTGGCTGTGCTCTCCCACCTTCCTTCCTCTAGTTTACAGCCTACTGACCAAAGGGAAGCAAAACTGACCTCCAGGGATCACTGGGAGAGGGACCAGAGCCCTGGCTGTGAGGGACCTGCTGGGGGACCAGCAGCTGGGACCACCACGGGGCGAGCTGAGCCCTGCCTGCTGCCCAGCCTCACTCTAATCCTTCCCCTCCACTCTCTGTCCAGTAGTTTGTTCTCTCTGGAGTTTTGGGTTTTTTAAAATGTTCACATACAGTTTGTGAGTTGTTGGTTTGGGGTTTTTTTTTAATTGGATTTAAGATTGAGAGGAGAGAAATGAGACTGAGCTTGGAACAGGCAGGTTTGGGTTCTCCCTCTGCCTGTTGGAAGGGTTAATGGTGCTGGGGGTTCTTGGGATGAACCTGCTGTGTGGCTGGAGCTGAGGAGGGATCCAGAGGTGAGGATCCTGCTGGAGCTTTGTTTGCAGCTCTTGAGGGGGCTGCTTGGCCGTGCCCCCCTGCACTCCCACCCCCTGCACTCCCACCCCGTGTGCCTGTCACTGCACCCCCTGAGGCTGAGTCCTCCCCCCTGCTCTGTTCCCTTGCTGGTATCCTGCTGCTGCCCCAGCTCCATGAGGAATCCCCAGCCCCTCAGCTGCTGGATGTGGCTCAGCCCACCCCGTGGGGCAGGGGGAAGCAAGGAGGGGAACAATCGGGTCACATCTCTGAGCAGCTCCAAGTGTCCCCAGGCACAGGAGCCTGGCAGTGCCCTTGTCACCTCCTCTTTACAGTCAAAGCCCGTTGGGGCACAAGGCTGGGACCAGTTTCAAGGGTACTTCTCATGTTTCTTTGTCAACAAGGACAGGAAATAAAGACCAGTTCCCTGGGCAGAAGGGTGCGGGCAGCTCCCTCGGGGCGTTGCTCACACGTTCCCTGCAGCTTTGCCCTGGCATGTGCGGCTGCAGGTGATGGGTGTTCCCTGGGGCCGTGGGGTGGGGACGGTGGCACCGAGGGGCCAGCCTGCCCCGGGCCTGCTCCTGGGCCTTTTTGGTCCCTGAGATGTACCTGTCGCACCTGAGCTGCCCCGTGTCTGGCAGCGGGTGGCACACGGAGGTGAGAGAGGGACACGGGGGGTCCCCGGGGTAGGGAGGGCAGAGCAGGAGGTGGAGAGAGAAAAGGCTGCAGGGGTCGGTCCCTGGGGACACAGGGGTGGGTGCTGGGGTCAGTACCGGGGCAGCAGGACCCAGGACACAGAGGACAGGACGCGGGGCCGGCCCTGGGGCTGCGGGGCGAGAGGGGGCGGTCCCGGCAGCGCCCGCCCCGCTCCTCACCGGCAGCCCCGGCCCGGTGCCACC